TGGGGTGCCTTTAATTTTGTCCACATAAAAAAATAAGTTAATGGTAAACAATGGCATTGAACAAAAGGACCTGTGAGGACTCAGAATCTACGGGAATGAAAGTTTGGATTGTGCATCAGGTAAAGAATCCCAACAAGCTGAGGTCTGCCTGAGAGCAAAGCCAACATGGAATGGTTATGGAAGAAGGGAGTTTCAAATATGAACCGTGCTGTGGGGCCAGCTTCAGTTCCAGGGGGCCTGCAGCAGGGAGGCATATTTGCCTATCTTTCTTCTTGCTCAGTGTGCGTGTATACACATATACATGTACGTGCATACGTGCATATATATGCATGTGTGTAGGTGGGTCAAGACACACAGGGACTTGCTCGTTCCTTTTGCTTCCAGTTTCTCTCAATATTGTCTTAGCAACAGCTCTTCACTTGCTAGCTGCAGTTTGCTTCAATTTCATTTTTCCCCCCCACATGAAAGAAGCCGCTAAATCACACCCCCTCCTGAGACACCGGCAACCCCTCCCTGGAGATCTGAGACTAGCACGGTGAGCCTCCTCCTCTGGCCTCCTGAGGCACAGGCACCAGCTGGGAGGAGCTCCCTTTTCAAAGGTCTGACTTCAATGCTGTGGAGCCCTGCCCTCTCTGCCTGTGGATTTTAACAACGCGCCCTCTTTGCTTTGCCCCTGACCCTGTGAGGGAGCTGCTGCTTGTACGTTCTCTCCGTAGGACACCTTTTTGTGTTTTTTAGGCTTCCAATACCTGCTTGACTAGTTTCCAATTTAAATTGTCTGTTAAAACAACTGAGGTGACTTCTGTTTTCCTAAATACACAGATTCTTTGATTTGGTGGGAAAACTTCAAGAGCCTTTTCTTGAGTCGCTCATTTCACTGAACAGAAACCTGGGGCTGGAGGGGTGAGATGCCTTCCTCAAGGTCAATTCTGGGGCCAGACTGTCTCCCTCCCAATCCAGGGCTCCTACCACCATCCTATATAGTCTTCTAAGCACTTTTCAAAGCTTCAAATGCAGGATTTTGCCCTTCATATGGGATTCTCTGCCTGTCCTGAACAAACTCGGAACAGTTTCCTATTTCCTCGTGTAGAAAAACATTAGAGCCAGAAACGGACGGTCCCATTGGCCTTAAAAGGATTCCATGGGTATGTAGTGGCCATTGCACCAGCAAAGCCCACAGCCCCAACCAGGTATCTTTCCTGTCCTTCTCCCATCTGTGCTAACTCACCCCCAACCTGGAGCCAGATGGACTTGTGTGTCACCTTCCCCCAGACTGTGAGCTGTCCTGGGCAGGGGCCTTGCCCACTCCTTAGGATGACAATGTACTCTGATGCTGGGAGCACAGACCCTCGTGTCAGACACACCTGAGCTGGAATCCTGGCTTTATGTCTTACCTCGCCAAACCTTACTTTTCTTGTCTACAACACAGAGATTTTGCTATCTCATAGGGTTGTTGCATGGACTGAATTCTACTGTGCAGAGAATGTGCCACCCCCAATGATGTCTATTCAGTGTGTGAGGCCCTGTCATCACCACCTCCGTCACTGTCCCAGTGCATGGCACACAGTGGGTTGGGACTGAGTCCTGGGTGCATCACACCTGCTTTAGACAGGCCTGTGGCCTGGACCCCACCCACAGTCTCCTGAGGGGCTTCTTTCTTTTACAGAGGCAGCGCCTCTCCTCCGTAGAAGAGCACTCACAGATAAAAATTCATGGCAAAATCCTCCTCCTCCTCTATGCTCCCAGCTGCCATTCTCTTGCTTATGGTTGCAACCTCTGGTGAAGACATGTTAAGGACAACCCTATTCAGTTTCTGATATGGTCTGGCTGTGCCCCCACCCAAATCTCATCTTGAATTGTAGCTTTCATGATTCCCATGTGCTGTGGGAGGGACATGGTGGGAGGGAATTGAATCATGGGGGTGGTTCCCCATACTATTCTCATGGTAGAAAGTCTCATAAGATCTGATGGTTTTATAAGGGGTTTCCCCTTTCACTTGGCTCTCATTCTCTCTTGCCTGCTGCCATGTAAGACGTGCCTTTTGCCTTCTGCCATAATTGTGAGGCCTCCCCAAACATGTGGAACTGTGAGTTCATTAAACCTCTTTTTCTTTATAAATTAGCCAGTCTCAGGTATGTCTTTATCAGGAGTGTGAAAACAGACTAGATACAGCTTTCATCCAGACAAAATGTGTCATGGTCATTTTAAAAAGGAGAGAAACTATTTTCCTCTTACATGAATGAAACTTGGCTGGGCGTGCTGGCTCGTGCCTGTAATCCCAGCATTTTGGGAGGCTGAGGCAGGTGGATCACTTGAGGTCAGGAGTTTGAGACCAGCCTGGCCAACATGGCAAAAACCCATCTCCACTAAAAATACAAAAAAAAAAAAAAAAAAGATTAGCTGGGGATAATGGTGCACACTTGTAATCCCAGCTACTAGGAGGCTGAGGCAGGAGAATCACTTGAACCTGGGAGGCAGAGGTTGCAGTGAGCCAAGATCACGCCACTGCCTGGGTGACGGAGAGCTAGGCTCCGTCTAAAAAAAAAAAAAAGAATGAAACTGTGACAACTGGGTTTACATCTCATCTGGGTGGGAAAACACTTAAATCAAACAATACTGGTATGGATGGATGCCTGATATAGTCCTTTTCCTCTTGGCAATAAAGCTTTTCTTAGGTGACATTTTACAAGAACACAGGAGTCAGTGGGCAAATAATTGGACCAAGCAATACTTTACAAACATGTTAATTTTATTGAGTAGGCATCAAAGCTTCTCTCTGTGTCAGGTAATGGAGAAGCCATGTCACACAGATTACAGAGCTATTTTTACTTGAAATAATCTTTCATAAAAGAAAGAAATTAAATACAATTCTTCTATAAAAAGTGCAGTAGTCATTACTGGAAGTTTTCCAAAATGAAAGCAAGATTTACTACATATTGCAAAAATTGGTTTAGTGCTTTAATACTTTACAAAGTAATATCCCAACCACAGAAGACAGCTCTTACAATGGGTTTCTTCTCCAAGAATGGACCGGATTGAAAAGGATATTTGCATTGAATTGGAATTAACACCTGCAGGTAAAAAGGGGTTCTGCACAACTGGGTCAAAGTAATGTGACTGACGACCTGTTTTTGCCTCCATATTTTCCTTTGTCCACAGTAATCAAAAAAAATGGGAGAAATAAAGCAACATATGCCATCCAAAAATCAGTCAAAAAAACCAAAAAACAAAAAAGAGGAACATTCACTGACTTCATTAGGCCAAACGCATGTTTAATGGAACAAAGCAAACACAGGGTGAGGATGGTCCCTTGTTATAATTTACTTCAACAATCCTTAGCTAAAACAAGGCCAAATTCTCAAAGGTGATGGTGAATGGAGTTCAAACTCCGTAGATGAGGCAGTAACGGGTCACTAAGGAGCTTAGTTCCTCTGTGGACCCAGCTGAACCTGCTTCTTGCTCCTAACAGCGCCTTTACTTATAGGACTAAGAGGCCAGCCTTTCCCACCTGTGGGCCCGGGGAAGAGAAGCTCCTACCGAATGGTGACTGGCTCTGTCAGAGGTGGGGCTTGCCTCTGCGTGTACGGGGGCTCGAGGCCACAGCTGATCTCCAAAGCATGGAGATGCAATCATGGTGAGTTTCCTAGTTTTGGTCCTAAGTTAGTGGAGACAAGCTGCCCCACTCCCCACTGCCAAGTCGTCATTCCATATCAGGTGTTTGGTTTCCATTCCTGTAAGCGGGAAGAATGTGTGCAAAGAGCTGGACAGCCCATCGGGCCTGGGAGACCTCCATGGACACCTGCCATGGAGAAAGTTTGCATGGGCCAAGGGGGCAGGCTCGTGGGAAGCACACACCCCCCCGAGTGCTGGCAGGAGCAGGCCTCCAGTCTGTTTGGGCAGCAACGGAAGGGACACTGTTTATTTGGCAATTCAAGCACAGGAACGCACATGTGTGGGCCCAGTCACTGCTGGCTGGACAGCTGCAGAGGGGGCGTTACCATGGAGACCTTATGCCTCTCCCATGAAGGACCTGAAAATATGGCATCAAGAGAAATGACAGCAAAACCACAGAAGCGGATTAAAGAGAGGACAAAGCCTTTAACCAGGTCACAGTAGGACAAAAGTCCCATAAGAAGCTTGTAACAGTATTTTGCCAACAACTCTTAGAAGAAAATGCATTTGGCCAAAGGACCTAGAAGTAAACACCAAGGTTAGGTAGTTGTCAAAATCATCCGGCAGGGGCAGGAAGGTCATTGGAGGACCCACACCTCCCTGCTGTGGGTGAGGCCAGCTGCCAGCACTGGGTCCTGGGCCCAAGGAGGTGTGTGTTGCTTGGCTCTGTGGTGTCAAGGCTCTGACCTTCCAGTGCACCTCCGCCAGCGGCCAATGGGGATACCCAGGGGCCTTGGCTCTCTGGTCCTGCTGCTTCCAAATTTGTCAGTGCAGTTGCCCAGCCCTGTGCTGGTTAATGTTTGTGACAAGCTCCTCTTCCTCTGCAACCTGCTTTGGTCACTGGAGGATGAGTCCTTCTAATGGTCAGATGGACTTTCCCTGGGCTGGGCCATCTGCTGCCACCCGTGTGGAACTGGGAAGGACTGGGAGACACCTAAAGACTGATGAACAAAGGATTCTCTGGAATGGTCCAGGTCTACAGTGACCTCATGGAGTGACGGGAACCCGCTACTGTGCATCTGACTACGAGAGCTACCCGTCTAAAACTGTCTTCGTCCCAGCTGGTTCCAAAATGCTCCCCTGCGAACAGCGAGCCTCACGTCTGTGAGGGTTAGCGGCAGGGCAGGCGCTGACAGACAGAAGCCACCACTGCTGCCCAGTGTTGCTCAATGCCATAACTAGCCATCTTGTACCCACAGGAGCCAGGTCACTGGGTCAACTAAAGTTCTCACAATAATAGAACCTGGATTTGATGAAAGCTGAAATTGACATTTTCTGGCCTCTTAATAGGTTTCGATTTACTGATTTCATTTCCTTTTTTCAACAAATACTTATCCAGTGCCTAATACGTATCAGGCACTGTTGTAGGCACCAGGATACAGTGATGAGCAAGACACATGAAAGTTCCTGCCCACATGGAGCTTACAGTCTATGGGAGACGGGGAGGCGAGAACCAAATAAATGGATGAATGATTAACATCTGCAGCACTCAGATGGTGAGAAATGCACAAGAAGATGCAGAGAGGTGGGTAGGGAGGGAGAGTGGGGTGTGCTGTTCTTTTAAAGAAGTCAGGGAAGGCCTCGTTGAAAGGTGACATTGGAGCAAAGACTGGCAGGTAGTGAGGGGTGAACCATGTGGCTCTCTGGGGAAGAATGTTCCAGGTAGAAGGAATGACATGTGCAAAGGCCCTGAGGCAGGAGGGTGCCTGTGCCTGTGACTAGAAATGGCAGGAAGGCCTACGTCCCAGGGCAGAGCAGCAGGCAGTAGTAGTACTGGGGTGGGGAGGCCTTTGTAAGGACCTGGCTTTTCTTCTGCCATGGGAGGCTGTTTCTTCATTGAAAGTAGCACTCCAGTGTCTGTAGATAAATTCTAAAACAGCTGGTTTCACTAATTTGTCCTCATTAAATTAATAGGTTGCTTTGGTCTTGAATAGATTTGGCCTATATTTACTCTTAAAACCAAATGGCACTCTTCACCTTACGTTAAACTAACAAATGTGTGTGTGTATACATATATATCCTTGAGATGCTCTTTGGGAGGAATAAAAAGATATAAGCAATGTGCATCATTCTGTATGTACATAATTAGGATTAGTGAGGCCCCCTTTTTTGGCAAGATTAAAATAGCAAAAATGCAAATTTCAACAAACTATTTGGCAAAATAAATAGAAACAGTAGTATTACTAGCATGGTTGGAGATGATGGCTTCAGTGCTGTTCTGCAATGACGTGTGTCTTCCGCTCAGCCTGGTGGGGCCAAGTTCTTCATACTGTGCAGACTGCACATACCTGTTATTCCCGGGGGTTCCTGCAGGGCATCTCCCTAGCTCTTTTCTGCTGGGGTGCAGTGGGAAGAAGAATAGATCTTTTGGAAAAGAAGGGGCCTGCATAACTGCTAACAGGCCAATCTGCACAGTGCCCATAGTTGTCTTTCACGACAGAAGCTTGCAGAGTGGTCCAGCCTGGATGCGCAGCAGGGCCTCCCGGGGTAAGCGTGGGGGGCTCTCCCCATGGCATGTGCTGGCCTCTCTATCATGAACTATCCAGGACCCACTCCTGAGTCAGTGAGGCAGCTCTGGCAGAAATACACTCTGGACCAACAGACCCAGAGCTGTGGAGAGGACACGGGCAGCAGGGTGGACTTGAATTACACAAGAACAAAGTTGAGCGCTGGTCACTGCCCCGGTCAGCCACACTAAAACCGGCCAGCTAGAGTTTCGAGTCAGGAGCAAATGTGAAGCTGGTGCCTCAGGTCTCCAAAGAGCCATCACTTTAAGGCGTTTTGGAAGGGGATACCTGTTCCCTGACATGCCAGCTACCTCTGGGCCCTTCATATGGTGTGTCTGTCCTCAGCTGGCAGCAGAACCAGACTCAACTAGAGCAGGGGCCGCCTCTGCAGCCCAATGAGGATGAAGCCAGAGCTGGTAAGGTCTGCTTGACCCCGCAGGGCTCGCTCAGCCATGGAAATACATTTCTTCTTGTTTATTAGAAGCACTGAAGAAAGATAAAGGACAGAACACTGGGGAAACTTAATTTGTAAAGTCCACACCAAGATGAGGAGAAAAAGAATCATATCATAAAGAAAGGAGCCCCAAACATACAGCAGATGCCTTCAGCTTTTACTCCAAGTCTCTTAGTAAATAAAAGACTCACATGGAATGGAACTTACACACACGGATTTGGAAAAGTCTTTGTTTTTTTCTTGCACAAATTTCCCACCATTGATAAGTACAGCCCTTTTATCTTAACTAAGGTGAAGTATATTTTGCTAGGTTAAGTTTATGTTTGCAACGTAGAATAGTTTGCAAAATAAGTTTGTGGATACTAAGTGGGGGGACGTGGGGGTGGGCGATGGACCCATGACCCCTCCTCAGAGACAGGGCGGGCGCTGCATGGAGGATGTTCACACCTGAGGTGTGCACCTGGGGGGCATGGAGAGTCCTTTTATCTTCAGCCACCCAATTCTTGACAGTAAGCTATGAGAATGAGGAAATTAAATCATTTGGAAAAACATTCAATTTGTGAAGTAATAGATTCAAATGCCACTGGGTGGTAATAGGTAAGAAAAGGTCCACAGTAATTTAGTGAATACAAAGTATTCATTTAAGAGGAAAGGTGCAGTACCAAAATCCATGAACAGAAAAAAAGAAATCAAGCTTTCAATAAAAACAGACATTTATACATTCCCACTTTCAGAAGGTATTCGAACAAGCAGCAAAAAGCATTTAACGCCCAGAGCCCACAGTGGGGCTCCTTCCCACCTCCAGTTACCCTTCCAAGGGACAACCCTGTGACAGTAAAGGGTGCGAAATATTGCTCTGTGGCATGTTCTGAAAATAATACAAAAATAATTTTTATAGTAGTTTAAACTTGGCTTGTAAAATTTCAACGTAACACAGCATAAAATCTACAAACAGAATACACTGAAAAACACCTTCCCTTAACAATATATTAAAAAAATCATTTACCCAGGTAACAAATGTGCAGGAAATGTAAATTTCTGAAATAACCTTCACAGGGGTTTAGAAGTATCTGGGATCCTCTGGAAACCTGCAGTCCCTTGGAGACACCTGTCCTTCCTAGAAAGGGAAGTGTGGCCAGATCAGGAGGGGAAGGCTGCTCTCAGGCAGGGTCAGCGACAGCAGCAGGGCCATACACCCCGGGGGGACTCACCTTCTTCCCTTTCTCCCTGCTCCACAAAGGGCCCTCATGCCATGGAATATGAGGGAAGCCCTTGGCCCACATGCAGTCAACAGAGTTTTTAATAGTTCCTGGCCAGCCTGATGAAGTTGGTCTCTGGCCAGGGACGAGGTCTAAACGGCTCTTCTCAAGGAGCATGCTGTCGGTGCATGGGGCCTGCACATTTAATATGACTATCGGCTCTCTCCCCCTTTTTAAAAAAAATACTGTTTAGAGAAGGATGGATTCAGATCTCTCACAAAAGGAAATGGCTATTCCTAAGTCATGTGGACTGAGTGGTAATGTATCAGCCTGGAGCAGGTGTCTACAGACGTCTGGCGCCTCTTTACCACACTGAGAAGCTGGGGCGCAGGATGCAGCCAGTGGTTTTATCTCAGGCTCTTATTTAGGGCACATCTGTCATCAGATGGTGATGGGTGGAGGTAACTTTGAAATGCAAGGGTAGAATAGGTCCTGGTGTTTTGATAATTACGTACTCTGCCTGGTTTGGAAGGTTTTCCTGTATTACAACGGACTGTTTTTATTCTCAGTTGTTTTTTTTTTTTTTTTTTGAATTAAACAAACCAGGCAGATACCATGAGAAAGAAAAGATCTGAATTTGCATAGCCAGTTTTAGAAACTTCTGGTTGGCTCTTTTTACATTAAGAAATGAGAAAAACAAACAAGAGTTGACTTATGCCTCCTTGGCATCTTGTGCATACGAGTTTGGTTTCTGAATGGACTACTGAAGCATTTTTAAGGTTGGGTGTCTCAATCTTTTAGGAGTGAGGGGCATGAGGAGTGGCTGGCATCCACACCCGAAGCAACACTTTCTGTGATCCCACAGCTTTGGATGCCAAAGCAGCTGCTCAGCGAGACACGAAGAATCAGTCCAGAAAGCTGCCGCAGACCCTCTCCATGAGATTTTTAAAAAACCACTTTTGTTTTCTGAGTAATAAAAGAAACCCCAGTAATATCAGGGACGTGAACGTTAGTACAGTAATTACCAGACATTGAAAATATGGTTCAGCAGGAAAAAACTTTCAAAAAATTTCTTAAAGATCCTATTGAATAAATAATTTTTGATTTAAGGAACCACTTATGCAAAACTCGAACAAATTACTGAAAACTCCACCTGCTGTGGAATAATTAAAAACAAAAAGGCATTACTCACAGGAGATAATTGTTTTATTATAATTTTCCAAACAAGTAAAAAAAATCCCCTCCCACTTTGTTTGTTTCTTTGTTTGTTTTTGCTGCTCTTTAGTTAGGGAAAAAAGCATCGTTTCTACAGGAGAAGCTGGCTCCAGTGAAGAGATGGTCGACCTCCTGCTTTTTCTGAGGATACACTCACAGCAAAGCCAAGCGCTTTCTCCTTTCCTAGGAGTATTAGAAGCTATTCTAAGGCTCTCACAGGTTTTATAGTATTCTTTTGTTAGTGAGGATTTTACCCATCTTATCCCCATTTCTTGGAAACAAGCTCGTTCCTTAGTGAGGCAGGTTTAGCTCCTCAGTGTCCCTGGCCAAGAATGGTGTTCTCCGGAGGTAATCTTGGAAGGAAGAGGCTGCGTATTGCTGCTCAAAACAGGGTAGCTAAGGACACATTTTTTTTTTTTTTCCTCAAGAAATGTAGGAGGCACCAAAAAAGAGACTGCTCAGGGATCGGGCTGCTCCCTCATTGTGTCACGAGACGGAGGCAGGGTCGTCCTGCCCCATGGAGGGGCCACGATCATAGTGAGTCCCTTTACCTGGCTGAACCCAGACAGATGCAGGTGTTGGGGTGGCTTCCTTCCTGGTTCCCCCAGCTCCTCCCCTTTGGAAAGAGCAGCAGCCTAGTGGGGGCTTACACAGTGACCGAAGGGTGAGTTCCTCGCTGTCTCCCGGGGCACCGATGGTCATCGCCTAGGGGCCCTCCAGCGACAGTCCACTGTGGAAGTGCCTTCAAAGGAGAAATGTGAGCAGGCTGTCTATCTTCTCCTCTACGGGCAAATCCAAATTGTGAGATGGGAACCCTGCTTTTTGGACCCTAGGTGTCTTTGGAAAGCTCCTGTCACCTGAGCTGCCCGGCACTGGGAGCCATCGCTGTACCTAACCGCGCCCGCAAGACGGGTGGTCCAGTGCCCTTCCCACGGCCGCCCGCGGCTTGGATGGCAGTGTGTGAATGGTGCTTGAGCCGGGGCTGGGGGAGGAGGTTTGGCTTATGAAATGGAGCTGTGTGTTTCTAAAGGGCCACAGTGACCACCAGGGCGTCAGCTGGCGGCCAGGTACCCGCCTTCTCCTAGGTCCCGGGATGGGAGGCAAGTGGAGCCCGCAGAGGAGCCTCCACCGCAGCCCCGGGTGCGCGTTCACTCTAAGCCCTGGGTATTACCAACCGCGCACAGGGGACCGCTACCTGGAAGAGGTCATCGCTAGGTTAGGAGAAAAAAAAAAAGGCAAAAAAAGCATGTAAAACACTCCCTTCTAAAAACAAAGGGCTGCGAATTTCTTTATTTCTTACTGAGGAACAAAAATACTCTTGCAATGGCTATTGAGTTTCCACAGGTACGAGGCAGATGCTAGGCTAGCACACCCACTTCCAACAGTATGACTTGTTTCCTATCCGTCTACTACCTGAGTGGCGTCAGTGTAGGTTCAGGCACCATTAGGAACGTTTGACCAAACACGTACACGGCACTGACAGAGGAGGCGCCGGCCTTCCGGTGGACCAGAGCATGTAAAAAAGACACCGACACAATGGAAAAGAAATCCTCGAAGGTAGAACCTCGCCGCCTGCGCCGCGCCGCTCAGGGCCGGGCCCCACGCGCCTCGCGCCGCCGCCGCAGCTCCTCGCGGTAGCAGTAGGAGCAGTAGTGCTCGGTCTCGGCGCGCCCGTAGAACGCACAGTTCTCGCGCTGGCAGCGCCGCTGCACCGGCCCCGGGCCGCCACGGCCGCACTCACCGTTCGAGCGCGCGGTTGGCGCGTCGGCGTCGGCGAACTCCAGGCCGTCGCGCGCGGCGCCGAAGCCGTTGGTGTAGGTCTGCGACTTGTGCTCTGCCGCCCCCGCCGCGCCCGCCGCGCCCGGTAAGGCCCCGGGCACCGCGCGCGCCAGCGACTCGACCGTGTTCACGGTGCGTAGGGCGGCGGCGCGCGCCGGGCTGTAGCTCTGCGACGACAGCGAGCGGTTCTGCTGCGGGTACGTGGCACACGGCCGCAGCGCCCCCACGGCCGGCGCGCACGCCTCGTCCCGCGCGCCCGACGCCTGCACGTGGATGACGCTCTGGCGCGCTGGCGCCGGGGGGCTGCGGCCGGGGATCGGTCCGCTGGCGCCCGCACGCCGCGCGCCTGCCCCCGGGGAGGCTGTGCCGCCCGCCGCCGCCCGCGCCGCCCGCCCCGCCGCGGGCCCGGGGCTCGGCCTCTCCTTGAGCTTGAGCACCAGCTGCGTGGGCGGGCCCGGAGAGGCGCGCTCCGGGACCGGCGCGCCCTCCGTCTCTGGTCTGCGCGGTGGCCGCTTGGCCGTGGAGGCGGCGGCGGCGGCGGCGGCGGCAGTGGCCGCGTCGCGGCGCCGCTGCTCCTGCTCGGCGCTGAAGCGCTCCTGCGCGCTGGTCAGGTAGTAGCCGATCATCTCCTCGTGGAACTGGTGCCGGTGGCTGGTGAGCAGCAGGCCGGCGAAGATGAACTTGCGCTCGCCCTGCATGGCGGCGCGCAGGATGTTGAGGCTCAGCTTCACGTCCGTGCTGTACTTCCAGGCGTCGCCCCGCGGCCCGCCGCCCTTCTCCGCCGGCGACGCGCCCGCCGCCTTGTCCGTGGGCGACGGCGTGGTCTTCTCCGAGGGCGACGTGCTTGCCGATGCACCCGACTCCTCCTTGCTGCCCTTGCGCGACTTGGCCTTCTTCTCCTTGCCCCGCTCTGCCGAGTCCCCGTTCTTGCCGTTAGCGGAGTTGGCGCGGCCCATCTTGCCGTGCACCAGGCCGCCGAGACCGCCCATGTTTTTCTTCAGCTTGATGCCCAGCGTCTTGCTGAAGCTGCCCAGCTTGTTGGCCACGGAGTCGGCGCGCGTCTTGTCCTTCTCCTTGCGCTGCTTCTCCTTCTCCTTGTCCTTGCCGTTCTTGCCGTTATTGCTGTTGGAATTGCTGCACACCGAGTCGCGGTCCGAGTCCAGCGAGTCGGCCAGGGACTGCACGTCCTCCCCTGCCGAGGCCGTGGGAGACTCCGGTTGTGCCAGGGGCGCCTGTGTGGAGAGGGAGGGCCGGAGTGAAGGTGGTTAGAGAAGAGCGGTCCGCGGGCTGGCCAAGGAAGACACACCTTGCCCGTGTCTTGCCAAGGCTGGGGCCCTCAAGCTTCACTGTCCCAGTCCCCACTGTGTCTCTGGTGACTATGATACCTGGATGGGCGGTGCTGAAGGAAAGGAGCGGATAGGAGTGGGCTCTGATTCGCTGCAGTAGTAAAAGGATGTAGGGACTTATCTGCGTGTGTCTTCTGGCCACGGAAGCTGGGGTGTACTCATTCTTTCTCTCTGGGGGACCTCAGGTACTTGGTAGCCTGGAACCCTGAGTGGGGGATTGGGGCATGGTGCAAATACCCCACTGGCCTTGGTCCCCAGAGCCTTGTCACAGTTCAGAGAATGTCAGGTTCAGACTCTGCCCTTCCCCACTAACAAGGCCGCCTGCTTGACCAGACACAGGTCCCAGGCCAGCCTCTGTGAAGATGGAGGCCTTCAGGTGGGGAGGACACGGGGCCTGCACAAAACTGTCTCCCTTGAAAAGATGTCCCGCCGCCTCACACCAGGCAGGGGACAGAAACCTTGTACTGAATCTCATTCATCGGATCTTGAATCAAACACCCCCTTGATTCAGGGATGCCAGATCGCTTCAGGGGTTCCTTTCTCACTCAGTTTGGCAAGGTGGAGTGCTAAATTGAGGAGGATTCTGAAATAGGCCTGCGCTCAGCAAAAAAGATGTTCCCATTCCCAGAAAAGGACCCCTGGGTGGTTTGGGGTGGGGTGACGCTGGGAAGCACGGCTTGGATGAGACCCACTGAGGTGGTCAACCAGTCTGCGGAGGGCACGACCATATCTGGGGCGGGGAGAACCTGAGAAAAGAGGTGGGAGGGCAGAGAGGCAGGCAGCACCTACTGCGTCTGCAGAGGGACCTCCCTGGGTGAGGAGAGAATTCTGACTGTCACTGGACGAGAGGCAGGATCCCTCATGCTGGCTGCTGGGTGCTGCAGGAACTGGTGCCCATACCTGAACAGGCTTCCTTGGCCTCCAGGGGATGAGCCTGGGAGAAGGCTCCCATTGCTCCCCCACTTAATTTTTGTCTCCCCACCCCCAGGCCCCTCAAGCAAGTCCAAGAGTCGGTGACTGTCCTGTGACCAGGTCACCCTGAAGCAAACGTGGGCAGAACTGACCCACACCACCGCCCACTCTGAAATTCCTTTCTCCTTCCCACCTGGGATAGGAAGGTGTGAAGTGTCTCAGACCAGTGTGTGAGACACTAAAGGGTGGACACAGGCTGGGCCAGGAACGGAGGTGCGCCTGGTGCTAGCAGGAGCGCACTGAGAGCGGGCTCAGGAGTCCCTGGCTGGAAGAACCCTTCCCACGGTTGTCCGCTGAGAGCCTTGCATCTGACATGAAGGCACCCAGGCCTGGCAATTGCAGGCAAAGCTCTGCTCAGCCCGAGAGCCTCCTGATTCTAGATCCTGAGCCGCTGCCATCACTCCCCATGTGGGTGCTGAAGAAGAACAGCCACAGCACCACCGGAGTGCTCCAGGCCTTTGAGAGGCAGCACTCAGACTGCCACAGACTGGCTGTCACTTACGCCATCAGTAAAATGGGGTATCAGTCCCCGCCTCCTGGAGCCCTGGGAGATGAAGTACAGGCAAAGGCCGGAGTCTGAGAGCACTGAGCAGTGCTGACCACCATCCGACTCCTTGACTTACACCTCTCCTTTACTAATTCCTTATGAGCCCCACTTCAAGCCTAAGTAACTGGCCGGAGAGGACCAATTATTTGCAGGCTGTTTTTTTTTTACAAATCTTTTTCCCTGGCAGCTCACTACTGAGATTTCAGAAAACATCAGTCAGATGCTTAAAATGAATCGCTCAGCGTCTGCAAGCAGGGGCAGCCCCGACCCTCTGGAGGCAGGCAGCCTCACAGGGCACGGGCCCCTCTCCTCACCTTCCTGCCAACTCCACCCACCAGTGTGCTGCCTCTGGGAGGGGAGGAAGGGGGCGCTGGGGAATTGCGCTCTCAGTTCCCTGGCTTTCTTGAGGACCCACACAGTTTATAATTAATTCTGCTCTGCGGCAGCACATTGTGTTCTGATCTCAGTAGAGATAGTTTTGTGTTGTGACTTGCCTGTCGCTTGTTTTCTGAGTGGGCGTGTTTATTCCTTCTGCAGAAAATAGGGGGACAAAAATCCTTTTACAAGAGTGCATGCTTGCATGGGGGAGCTACTGGGCTGTGGGTATGGCTGGCATGGGCGGCCAGGCAGGGGCAGGCAAGAGTGTGGGAGCATTTGGGAGGATGCACCCTGGCCAGGCTGGAGCTGAGCAGCCTGGACCCTACCGCCAGATCTGGTCCTAGCACAGCCAGGCTCACCCGTGTCTCGGAGGGGATCCGGATCCATGTCACATTCATGTAGCTGTGCAGAAGGTTCAGCTTGGCTTCTAGCGACAGGATAAGGCTGGCAAGAGAAGAATACCCTATTGAAATGGTCTGAGCTGGCCCTTGTAGCACCCAGCCCACCTGCATGCCAGCTGTCCCAGGAGGGGCAGGGGTGGTACAGCCCCTCCCCAGGATGCCCCAGCCATAGCCCTCCCTGTGGGCGCTGGGGGAAGGGACAGAGTAGGGTCTTACTGGGCCAGCCGGGCGTTATCGTTGTCATCTTTCCCCCACTCCCAGTCCTTGCCAGGGTCCACTGCAAAGTGCAGAGGCAGCAGCTTGTGCTCAGAATCCGTCAGGGGGATCACGGCTGGAACAGAAGAGACAGAGCCGTGCTGGGAGCCCCGGCATTCCCCAGGGAGGATGGGAAGGAAATTCCCAAGCCAGATGTTCAGGTGACAAGTGCACCGAGTGGAGATCTACACAGATCTGTGCCAGCAGGAGCATGAAGACCAAAGCCACTATTGCTAGTTTTTAAAATTCCATATTTATTGCAGACAGTGGAGAGCAGTTGGAAGCGTCACCTGGACCCTGGGTCTCTTTGGGTCTGTCCAATGGCAGATACTCCGTTGGGCATCAGAATGGGGAAAAAGCTATTGCTGCTGCTGCTATTTCTAGGAAGGATCTAGGCAGGTTAGGCACACTTTGGGAGGCTACCTTGCAGTGGGCCTGGGGCCCAGCTCTCCTGTCTCATCCCAGAGAAAGGCTGAATGTACAAGTCAGGTGAGCAAGGGTGTTGCTGACCTCTACTGGTTTGTGATTTTGTGCCACAAGTCTGTGTCAGTGCCTGGGACCCGTGGACCCACCCGCCCCTGCCCGTAGGAAGCTCACCTGTGCTGGGGACAGATAAGCAGGTTAACAAACACCTCATAATGTCAGGTGGTGATGAGCCCTGGAAGGGTAAACGGCAGGCAGAAGGCAGTGATGGTGAAGCCTTTCTTGGGTGGGGTCAGGGGGTCCTTTTGAGGAGGTCACATGTTGTTGGAGACTGCAGTGACGAGCAACTGGCTGGCCATTTCTCAGAGGGACTGACTCATCACAAAAGCTCTGTGGTGAAACTTACCACCCGTGGGAAATCCTGGCTCACTCCAGAAGGGCTAGGGTGGAGGGGGTGTCTACAGGTTTGGGATCTTCTAGGAGCTTCTGAGCTGCTGGGGGACCTGATGAGAGGAGTTCCTCATGACATGACTGACTCCTCCCAAGGGCATTGTCAGGGACAAGGGCAGGAGGAAGTAGGAGATGATCTCCCCAGGTCTTTCCTTGGACCAAGCAGCAGCCTCCTGTGGGCTCCAGTTAGCTCCCCTGCAGGCCCCACTCCTAGAAGTCATACCACAGCAGAGAAGCACAGCCCAAGGCCTTGGGTCAGCTGCTTTGCCTCTTTGCTGGGGCCCATGATTCACAGCAAGGCTGCCATGGCAAGAACAAAAAGGCAAGGAAATAGATCAAATCGAAGACTGAATACCAATAGTTGATTTGGTAAGAAACTGGAAAAACTGACTCAATGCTGCCCTCCAGTGTTGCTTAAGAGGAAAAATGGGTACAAGTAATTCCCCTCTCCACCCCTGCACCTTTTCTTCCCCAGCCTCCCCCAAGCTGCGAATAAGGGAAATGCAGCTTTGCTGACCAACGGCCAGCTCCGGGCTTTCCTTTCTTTTCTTTTTTCTTTAGACGGAGTCTCGCTCTGTCTCCCAGGCTGGAGTGCGGTGGCGCCATCTTGGCTCACTGCAAGCTCCGCCTCCCGGGTTCACGCCATTCTCCTGCCTCAGCCTCACGAGTAGCTGGGATTACAGGCGCCACCACCACGCCTGGCTAATATTTTGTATTTTTAGTAGAGACGGGGTTTCACTGTGTTAGCCAGGATGGTCTCGATCTCCTGACCTTGTGATCTGCCCGCCTTGGTCTCTCAAAGTGTTGGGATTACAGCGTGAGCCACTGCGCCTGGCCCGGGCTTTTCATTAATCTGGCTTGGGATTGGAAAGTGCAGTGCTCTGATTTGAGAGGTCAGGGGCAGCGTGGCCTGGCTTTGCTGCAGCCTTCTGGGTTCTGCCTTGACGTGGCCACCCTTCCCAGGTCTGAGCTGCAGAGTAGACACACCCAGGGAGGGCTGCAAGGCTGGCTCAGGGACAGGTCTCCCTTGGGTGGTGCCCAGCAGCCTGTCCCATAGTTCTATGAGTCACTACACAAACAGAGAAGGGGTTAGCCTCACTTCTTACTCACGGGGCAGGGGGTGGCACAGCCTCTCCCCATCCACAGTGTTTCCCCGAATACAGCAGTGCAGCTCCTGGGAGTTCCAAGCCCCCATGAACAGATGGACCAAACCAAAGTGTCCAGGAAAACGACTCAGAAAGTGACATTTTAAATAAGCATCTCCTGTGGCTTTTAAAATCAAGCAAATTCAGGAAATATTGTTCTAGAACAAGAATAATCTGTTAGAAGCAGTTCCTGTGGGTGCAACTTGGACATTTTGAGTCTGGCTGTCCACCCGCTTCCCAGGGTAGAATTGCCATTGGAGAGCATCAGCCTAGCCACCACTCCATGTCTTAGCCACCCCGCCCCCAGGATTTAGGGGGAACAGGCACCTAGCGGCACCCATGGTCTGTGGGCAGAAGCAATGTGGGAAGTGTTGGGTGATGTGCTCAGGCATAGGGGGCCTCTCCCCACTTCCCTTCCATGGTGCCTGCAGAAGACAGCAGATCCCCACTGAAGAGCTGCCTGACAATTGAGAACGCTCCTTTTAGACTTCCACTGTGTTAAGCCCCTCTGATTTTGGTTTGCTTGTTTCAGATAAACCACCTAAGCTAAGACGGCACCCCAGTCACCCTCACCTCTCTATCATGGGGTTCATGGGGTTCCTGGGGACTCCTCCCCTCAGCAGCAGGGCTGGAATGGACTCCCTTCCATTCCAGCTGCCCAGGGCTCCAGTGCACGGGGGAAATACCCCTCAAGGGGCTACTGCCTGTCCACCTAGAAGGGCCCTGCAGCCTTGCGGCCTAGATCTGGCTGGGGTGAAGGACTAGCTACTGAGAGAGGCTCTAGGGACGTGCCTGCTCACAACGGAAGACACCGAGGGGCTTAAAGGCAGGCTTCTCTGCAGAGGGTCAACTGCGGCCTGTGGTGAGGGCTAGGGCTGCAGAGCCCAGGGACAGCTCAGGCCAGGAGGCCATGAAAACAGGTCCTCCTTGTGAGCAGCGGCTGCTGGGGATGCTTCTGCCTCTCACTGTACACCCTGACACTTCCCTATTGGAAACCTGGCTTTACCAGCAAGTAGCAGACGCACAGCAGCTTGCCCTCTGGTGGTAAATGTCTAGAACAGCAACTGCTTTTCAAAACGAGCCTAGAAAGGCCAGAAAGCTGTTTTGTTTTTGTTTTTGAAAGGCCTCTGGTATGTCTTTTAGCCTGGAAACACATAGGCATCATCTCATACTAGCCTGAATATATTCTGAGTACGTATTTTCTAAAAAATCAAGATTTCTGGTTTTTGTCTCCGATGTGAGAATCTGGAAGAGCATTGTTCCACTTGCCAGTCAAACTGCAAATTCACAACTTATCTTTAACCCAGCAGACAGCTGAAGTCACAGGGAAGCCGACTTATCCAATATCTAAGGAAAGACAGGTGCCTCCAAGGAGAGACAGACATGAGCTTAATTAAGAAGGGCCAATTCAGCTGGACCGCAGTAAGAATAATTCAGCTAAAATGTTTAAATTGGTAAAGGAAGAGTATCAGCTAGTGAAATAATACGAAACCCTGGGGTTGAAGATATAAAGGGAATTCACATGCACTTGCAGGCTCCTCTCCACAGGACCTACCTGGTTCTCCCACAAAAGATTGGCAGGAATTCCAAGAGAGTGTCTCCATAGATATTTCTTTCCCACCTCTACCAAGGAACAAAAGCTTAAACTGCAGAGTATAGGGTAACAAACACTGGGTGCACTAAGGGTCATGTTCTGTTACTCTAATTAAGCATCTGTCTTAGGCACTGTATCCCTGGATCTGGGGATGGGGGTGACCCTCCTGGGCTATCATGACTAGACTGGTCCAAACCTAGACTCTAAAAACCTAGCAAAAGGAAAGGCATGCTTCTTTCCAGGAATAAAAGTGATTTACTGCAGTCTTTACTGTCCCACTCAAGATGCCTGACTTTCAGCAACAACAACAACAACAAAACCTACGGGGCGAAAGGAAAGATTAAAAAAACCCAACACATTGATAGAAGACAAATCAGTTGATAGAACAAGACTCAGATATGACACAGGTGTTGAAACTATCAGACAAGGAATTAAAAGTAACTGATTAATAAGTTAAGGTCTAATAGAAAAGCTGGACACCATGCAAGATTTGATGGTTAATTTCAGCATAGAGAACAAATCCATGAGAAAGAATTAAATGAAAATTCTAGAAATGAAAACACAATAATAGAGTGAAGAATGATTTTGAGGGGCTGGTCAGTTGACTTGATATAGTTGAGCAGAGAATCTGTAAACCTCAAGATAGGTTATTAGAATTACACAAACTGAAACAGAAAAAAAAGGAGGTGGGAAAATGAACACAGCATCTAAGAGTTGTGTGACAATATCAGGCACCTTAAGTTCTGTGTAAATGAAATCCCAGAAGAGAGAAAGAACAAGGCAAAATAACATTTTAAAGAAATAATGGCTAAGAATTTTTCAAAATTAATGACAACCATCAACACAGGTCTAAGAAACTAAGAGAACACCAAGCAGGAAAAATAACACCACCACAAATATGCCTAAAATAGCATCTTAACACTTCTGAAACCCAAAGACAAAAAGAAAGTCTTGAAGGCAGCCTGAGAAAAAAGAGGATACATTATATATAGAGAAACAAAGATAAAAATTACAGCAGACTTTTCATGGTAAAACAGGTAAGCCAGAAGATAATGGAGTGACATTTTTAAAGTACTGAAAGAAAAAAACCCAAAAAACTGTTAATCTAGAATTCTATACCCAGCCAAAATATCTCTGAAACATGAAGAAGACATAAAGAGTTTTTCCAACAAAAGTGAGCAAATTCATTGCATGCAGACTTGAACTCTAGGAGATGTTAAAGTGCAAGAAATATGGTACCACTAGAAACTTGTATTTATACAATTAAGAGTGATGGAAATGGAATAAATGGTTGTGAAAATTCATTTTTTTCTTCTTTTTAATTGCTCTAACAGATAACTGTCTAAAGCAAAGAGCAGCAGTGCATTATGAATTTATAACAGATGTAAAAATAAAATGTCTGATAATAACAGAAAGAATGGGAGGGAGGGATAGGTAATACACTGTTGTAATATCCTTACACAA